CTGCAGTTCTTCACAATGGTTCTTGTCATTACTATCTTGAATAATTAACAAACTTTGTCATCCTTTGTAATCTGTTGTTTCAGTTCTCAGAGCAATTCTCTGTGGAAGTCCTTTGGTGACCTTGTTCCATTATAAGAACTGACAGATGGTCCAATATTCAAATTCTTTTCTAGCTTTTGATTAGATTTTTTTTTTATTTTTTTTTATTTGTGGAAGGACATTCCTATTCTAAGTTCTGGATGCTTAATTTTCTTAAAATCTGTCAAAAGCATTCTGGAAATTTTATCATTGTAATCCAAGTTCTCTTGGCCCCAACAAAGAATTCTGATGGCATAGAGGTGATCATTTTATATCTGTGATACTAGATTTTCCCAAGTACATCATATTAATTACATTATCCACTAATTCTGTTCTCATTATAGCTTTTAGTAGTTGATGTGATAGAAAAATGATGTGCATTGGCTTTGTAGATATCCCTGGAAACTTCTAAAAAATTATAGTAACTTTAATCTTTTTGTTGTTAGTTCATTTTCATGCTAATGTAACAACAAGCTACAGATCCCTTGCCAGTGTTAGTGGCACAGCAAATTTTGAGACAGGGATAAACACAGCACAAGCATTTGCTTTCTTCTGATTTGAAAGAAAATAGCTTCCTTGAAACCAGGTTTTTGTTAAGGCTCCTAATTTTTGGTGGTAATCTTCATGCACAGACTAATGTTTCCCACCAGTTTTGCATTTATAATTACCATTCTCTTCAATATGTTGGCTGGAATTTTCTTTTTAGATTCTTATCAAGGTTCGGGCTTGAATGATGTGAACAGAACTGCACAGTAAGTCATCGGCCAGTCGGGAAATAGCATTAGGTCATTCCACAGTCCAGTTCTAAAAATAGTATCTTGTGGAGAGAACAGTTTTGTTTAATAAGGAAAGTTTAGGGAGAAGCAGTGCATAGGCAAGTATTGCCATACTGCCATCATTTACAAGCCCACAATATTAAAAGATTTGGTAGTCAACTTGGAGTCCGTACAAACATAATTTGAATGTTTTTTGTACGATTCTGATGAAAGGATAAGTACCAAAAGCACATGCATCCTCTACCCAGTATGAATTTTTCTATCCAGGCGTCAAAGCTGACCAAAATCTTCAAGGAACTGGACACAGGAGCTTGTAGAAGGAGATATCAAGCAGTGTTATCATCTGTGGGAGTAGCTTTTCAGTCTGTGCTGTGTAGCGGCACATCTGTGTGAAGATAAGTACTTGTTCTTCTTGGTCCTCTCATCTTTCAGTAACTTGGAATTGTTGCTTCCTTTCTGAGTATCAGCAGTAATTTACTGACAGAAAAGACTTTTCAGATTGCTGTAATAGTAGGGGATGGAAGGGAGTAAACAGGTAAGTGTGGTGATGAGCTGCCAGGTGACAAAGCGGAGATGTCCTTTGCAGATTCCATGTGAGATGGAGAGAAGAGTGAGCTGTGGGACTGTCCTTGTTTGTTGGGAGTAATGTGTCTGTGTTTGTGTGACTCTCACTTCATAAACAGCAAATGCTCATGTCAGTCACAACGGAAACAGCATGCCGTTGCTGAGAAATTCAGTCTTAAGGGTGTTTGTATTGATGGAGAATTGACCTAGTGTGCTGCGAAAGTGGTGTTTATACAGGGCATTTTTTCTGTTGGTCTTTGATTTCCCCCTTCTCCCACCCCCCACCCCAAGTAAAGCTTGTGTTTCCTCATAGGAAGAGGAACATTAAATCTTTTGCTGTCTTATTTTGAGTACAGCTGTTATCTGGGAAAAGTTATTACGCTGTCGGTGGAGATTTCAGCATAATAACGAGTGACAATAAATGTTCTGGTGAAGTAATTTTCATCTCATTCTTGTTCTGGTCACTTCTCTGAAGCAGAGGCACTGATCATCTCACTGCATAATCTTCCATTCTCACCACAGTAAGGAACTTTGATTAGTGGTAGGTACAAGCTGGCACAGTAACATTCTTTATGCATCTTTTTCCTGTTTTTCTTTCCTTCACAGTCAGTCGAGACAGGGCCTTCAAATTTATGCAAGTAGTAACAACTTTTCCTCATTCCCCTCATAAATGATGATACTGGTAGTCAGTGTTAATGTGTCCTGTAGTGCATATTTACTGTCATCATGTCAGGGAACTACTGGATGTATGCAGAAAAGTGCTGAAAATACAGTAAAACATCAAGGATGCCATCATTTTCTTGCAGTAAGATATTTGCTGCTTGAGAAACGTTTGAGAGGAGTTAGAATTCAAGCATGATGTAGAGATACTCTTTGGGAGTATGTTATGCTTCGCACTTTACTTACTGTAGAGTTGACTTCAGGCTAAGTCAAGTGATAATTGATGCTCATGTTGGAATGCAGTACTCCACACACCCATGTGTGACGGAGCAGGTAAGTGATGATCTTTTTAAAAGCAGCTTATGGAAACAGATGCCTTTTATAATTTAATTTTTGCTTTCATTGAGTCCAGTCCTTTGGCACTAGCCCTCTTAAGTTTGAATTTGTGCATTTTCCTGGTCTAATGAAAAGCATTTAGATCGTGCCTGTCACCATAATAACTGCATACCTCTAAGTCTAAATTCTGTGAAATGAGATCACTGCAGATCTTGCTCAGATGAGGTCTGAATTAGATGACTTCTAAAGGGATAAGGGATAGGGAGGACTGCAGTGACGTTTTTTCCTTTAACTTGAACACAGTGGGATTAAGTCCCGTGCTTGTCTATACTTGTATCTCTTCTCATTTCATATGTCAGTTAGCAGCTTTGTGAATCACAAATAACTTGTTACATAAAATACAGCACTGATTGGTGTGATTTATCTTTAAATATACTTTAAGAGAAAGACTGTTCCAGTCCATAAACAAAGCACACTTGTATGTAATTGTGCTGCACTTTTTTTCCATCTTGTAGGCCGTATTAAACTGCACTGCTTTATCATGAAAGTTATTGATGTGGAAAATCTTACAAATGTCATCATTTTATCTAGTTGCAAGGCATACAGATTTAAAGAATATGCATTGTTAGGAAAATCAGTTTAGTGGGATTGTGCTTTGAATGATTTATTGGTTCTTGACTGTAAATGAGGGTAGTTTTCTTTCAGAAACCTGGCTGATCTGGGCCCAGACTTTCTTTATGTAGCCTATTAAATGTAAGTGCTTCTGCTTATTTTGCCTTGCCTTGCTTATTTCAATTGCCTGCTGCTAATCCTGTGGTACTTGTGATCTTCTGTATGAAAAGCATGTTGTATACATTTAACAACTTTTAGTAAATAATACAGTTCATGGGGAAATAGGTTTCTCTTTGTGGAATGCCATTTTATTACTTACATTACCTAAAATGAAGTTAAACATAGAATTGTAGTCAGAAGCACCTAAACAGCTGGGTTTTGTAAATGTGAGGCCCCCAGGCACAAACCTAGTTAAAAGCACAGGTGTGCACACAGCCATAGTGCAGGTAGTGAATACAATTCATTCTGGGCTCTGTGCATGCCATGGATGCTCCGTGCTTGCACAGCAGGCTGCCAGATGTTTCATAAGGGCTCAATGAATGGATGAAACCCTCTCTCATTTTATATGGACAAAATTAATTATAAGTGTTGACTATAAATATCTACAGAGTCACTTCTCTGTAGGTAAAATTTCATCCCTCTGTTTCTTTTCGTGCTTGTTCCTGCCCTGGAACTAGCTGTTAATTCTGAATTGGTTTGTATTTGCTGGATCTCCGGCATTGTGCTTGGCTCAGAGAGGTATTTTCAGCGGAGCTGTGGGTTTGACAAGGAAAGCAGAATGTTTGTTGATATCACTTCAGGTTACTTAGTGCTGATAGAGTGGTGGGAGAAAGTAAGTTACATACCTCACTTACTAACTGGTGTGAGTTTGGAATTTACTGTTAGAACCTGGAAAATAACTGCTACCATGTGGTTACATCGGTTTCCTATTAATGGGGATGATGGTGAAAGAGGAACTGAGAAATTTTAGATGATACAAACAACTGAATGATCTGATGTGGAGATGCTTTTCTGCGAGACCTTCTGAATCATACAGCCTAACAGCTGGATGGCTCTGTGTGGGGTCAGACCCAACGCAGGTAGGTCTGTCTGTGAAACAGCTCACTACGTTATGGCCGCAATCAGGGAACCTACTGAAGTTATAGGTGTGTGCTTAATTAGAATATTTTCTCACTTATTTTCATCTAAATCGCAGGAATGCTGTTTGCTACCAGAATGCAAGTACCCTTGTGAAATGAGTTTTGAAATAGGTGATGATGTTCTCAGGTTCTGCTAGCTATAGATATTAGTAGTGGTATTACTAAATTCTGAAAGGAGGAAAAAAATTTCCTGAAATTGTGCATTCCACAGAACATACCATGGGCAAAGTCCTCCACATGAGAGGGCCGTCAAAAAATACGACACTTCTTCTGTGAGGAGTATTTTCTTATGAAACAAAATGTGCTGTAATGATAATTACGGTTGAGGCTACTTGAAAAAAAGGAAAAATGTTTTTGGAGTGTGAAAAATAGGAAGGGACACTTTTCTTGTTCTTCTGGAGTAATGAAGAAATTATCTACACCGAGTGCACAGTCTTGTGATGAAGAGATGGCATCACCAGATCTAGGATCCTATGATGGCATACAAGGACAGTGTTAGCTGAAAAAAATGCAAGGAAAAAAGAACTGCAGGTACTCTCCTACAGTTGCAGTATTGTATGCAACTGTAGAAGCTTCTAAAGGAGTTACATTCTGTTATTTTGTATGTGAGATCTTAAGAATGATAACTTACTGTAAGTATCATGAAAGCTATTACCTTGATTCATGGGGGAATATGTTACAGTTTCAACTTCAATCTGTATTTCATGACTAATAGCATAAAACATATAATCATGGGCTGGAAACGGTTTGAGCTGAGTTTTAAAAGACAGATTCCTTATGTAGCTCTTTTAGTTAAGCGTTCCTAAATATTTTTTTTTCTCATTTTAATTTGCAGTATTACTTTACTGTTCTATTTGGCCATGAAGGGCAGAAGCCACTGGAGCTCCGTTGTGAGGATGAAGGTGATGGAGATGAATGGGTGGAAGCTATTCACCAGGCTAGGTATGAAACTTGATCATTAACCTTCACCTCTATCTATACTGATAATAATTTGAAAATCTAAATTCACCTTCTGAAGTACAAATACATTTTACAATGTGTTAGATGTGTATTACTTGCAATTTACAGATACGTTTTAAAAATGAATGCTTTCTTCAGTTCATGCTTACAAAGCCATATTTTATCATTTGCAAGTGATTGTATTCTAGATGAAATTTGCTACAGGATACCCTTTTATTAGAAACAGCTTCTAGGATAAGTCTCTGTTAGAAGTGAAGTGAGTATGCATGAAGAAATAAGTGATCTGCAAATGAAGAAACAAATGTTTCTTCAAAAGCTCTTACTCGGGAGTTAATTTTAAAAAAAAGGAGACCAAACCATCATTATGATAAAGCATAATGAAAAAAGAAATCTTTAAATTGAAGTTCTGAACGGTATCTTTTGAAAGGGGCATGTTATTAGTCCCACCCATGCAACTATTTCCCTGAGAAAAGGTCTGATAGGATAGCATTCAAGGTTTACAGTATAATTGAAAATTAGCCAACTGAAGGTTTGAGAAATGGGTTGCAGAGGCAATTATCTGTTGAAATGCACTTTCTCCAGCCTCTTCTCTTATACACTTACCTCAACTAATCTACTCTATCATGGTAGCACTTTGAGGAAGAAGACAGTTTCTGAATTACTTACAACTTAAGCCATGTAAATGAAAGTGATTGTGCTTTATGAAAAAGAAAATGAAAAACACCAGATAGCAGCATTTAATTTAGAAATTAGTCTGAAATTAGTCCCTGAAGCTCTAGCCCTTATGTCCTCTAGACATCTAGTGTTTGAATCTTTATCATTTTCTTAGTATTGCTGCCTAACTGAACAGGTTTTGCTCCTTCTTGGAGCACCTGCTGGGTTGTGGTACTAGATGAGCCAAATTTTGCGCAGTAGCACTGCTAGTGACAATACAGTTCAGGAGCTGAGAAGCTGTCAGGTTTTGGAGTTTCTTTCCATGCCACCTGTGTTATTAAGGAGAACTGTTCAACTTGTTATTGATTTTAGGTCAATTTCTGCTGTGATTTATGATAAAAAACAAGTGAAGAAAGGAGACTGAATTTTTTGCTTTCTGGTAAGGGCATTCAGGGTAAGCAGGATCCTATGGTGTGTTCCCTATTCTGAGAATTTTCTTCTAGCTTATTGCCTGGTTAAAAAGCACATATGCAAGAAGGGCTTCACAACACTGAGTTAAAATTTCTTATTGGAAGGCTCAGTTCAGAAACACATCCCACATGAATTTCCAGGGCAGCAGTTAGCAAAATATTAAACCAACCTTAAATAACACACAAATGAAAACATAGGCAACCGTTTTTGGACAAAGCTGGTCTTAAGCTAGTCTTGTTACTTGCACGTATTGTCCGAAATGACAGCTATTATGACTTGAAACTATGGACATGGACTATGAGGGGTATTCTCAGGGCCCTGTGTCATGTGAGGGATTTTGAATGTGCTTTTCTGCATTGGTTTGATATTTCTTGGCAAGGCCCTTCCAAGGACCTGAACACTGCTTTTTGTGTTCTTACATTCTTCTTATTTTGACAGAATGCCAATAAGTGACAAAGACTGTGTTGAAATTTAGCTGCTCAACACACAGCATAAGATGGTACTCTTTGCATTGTTATTCTAATGCTATCCTGCTTGAGTGCAAATTTCTTTTATTTGCCTTATGTTGTGCCTAGCAAAAAAGACTTGTGGTTACACACCTAGTTATTTCAGCATTGGGTCTTTTACCAAAGATAAAGTGAAAGGTAATAGTTTTAGGCTATTATCTAACATTTTTCTTGCCATCTTAAATAAAACAATGTTGTCTCAGGGATTATTTTTTTCCCTGTGTCACCAATGTAGACTTTTTGTTTGAATTTGTCTATATTTTTGACATATGGGGACAAGCCGTAGCAACTGTTTGAGTGTTACTGCTTGTCTGAGACTAGCATAAGACATTTCTGACCCTTCTCTCACAGTTTTGTTTTGACTTGCTAAATGACAGTTTGTGTTGCGTTTTGAAAATACTTCTTTCAGTATCTTAGATATCTTAGGTAAAAAAAATTGAAGAGGTAATGAGAACATCTCTTCTTCCTTTAAATTTAAGGCCTGGAATATCTTGTTTTGTGTGAATATGTTAGAAATATTCATTTACTTTCTGGAGGGTCCCTTTGTAATCAGTAGCTGTGATAATCCCTGTTTTAGATGAGACAAAACAGGAGTGAATTGCTTTTCCTTTTTTGTTTCATTGTGGTTAGTTTTTGGGGTTTTTTTGTGGTTTTTTTTTTTTTTTAATTTTTTGGGTTTTTTGATTGATGCATACAAAATGTGATTTTTTTGACTGCTTTCCCTGACTTTTTTGCAAAATGCACATTGGCAGTCGTCAGAGTCTCTTCCATTTTTTATCTAATTTGCAGTTGAAAAAATAAGCCTTTCCATCCCAGTACACACTACAACCCTTTTTGAGAACTAGGTATTTTGTCTGGATGCAAATTATTAATTAAAACATTTTCTGTTGTGAAGGGATAAACATGTCCCTTGTTTCTTGGAAGATTTTGCTATGGTGGGATGTTGCTGCTTATCATTTGGGGAGTACTGTACAGTCTTTGAGAGCTGGCATGCTGTTGTGTGCTGCAGCTAGATGCTGCAGTGCTTATGCTCCCCTCCACAGTACCTCCTCCTCATCTGGGAATGGATGGCTTATGATCTGACAATGGCATATGCAATTCAGTGTATTCTACTGGGACTCAATTCACTGTGAGCTCCATGTTCATACCCATTTTTCATCTCTTTTCATTTTGTTTTAATTCTCAGTGTTTTGACTTCTCAGTAATATTCAGAGTGACAGAGAAGCGTTTCGCTTTTTGGAGTTACGTTTCTGGACTGGGGGATTTATTCTTGGCAACCACTGGCTCCTCTGTCTGTGACTGATTCTGGGATTTCTGTCCTGGGTTTTTGTTCCAGAACTTGGCCCTTTTTGAAAATATATTTCTCTGTCAATAAACTGAGACTGATTTTTTTTTTTTTTTTTTACCTTCTTTACTATTTCTTCTTTTAATTTTATTTATTTGTTTAGTTATTTATTTATTCACTTTGCCTGAAATCCTGTTACGTTTCTTTTCTTTTTTTCTTTTTTTATTGTATGAAGTCCTCATCAAATTTCTAGTCTACCTTATTTGAAAGTCTTGAGTTAAGTATCCCAGGCTGCAGTTTCACGTATGCTTTATACCTGTACAAGTCTACACTGCTGCTGGAAGCTGTCATTTTCATAAGATAGCAGTTCTTTCCCAACCTTTGCCAGCCCTTCCCTCATGCTGCCACAAGCGTGAACTTAATTGGGAAACCGATTTTCACTAAAAACAATTACGTTTTTCATATTTTTTTGCCAGCATAGTTTTAATCTATCTCAGTTCTCTGAGTCTGTTTACTAGACATCCACACAATACACCTGTGTTTACCACACAAAGGAATGGGAGGCACTTGGTTGGAAAAGCTATGTGGGGCAAAAGAGTGGAGTGTTTCTTCCAGCTAAATTGCTGTTTAAACCATATGATATGCCCTCCAATCCACAATCCTCAAAGAAAAGACTTACTGCTCAGTCTTGTTGGCACACAGGAACCTGTCTGTTCAGGAACTGGCCCTGGATCCTTGGTCCTCCATTGCTAGCAATTGGAAGCATGACCCAAAGCCCGTCAGTCCCTCTCCAGCTGCCAGCTTTCAGTCCCCCTCACTCAGAGGTGAGGGTTTCCTGTATCTGACCTTACACACTCAGCGTAGCTGTTAACTAGCTTGTGGGAAGCTCATTTTCAGAAGTCATGCATGCAGATACATTTATCAGTCAATCACCCAACCTTATGGTCTTCCTAGTAACTGAACTATGTCTTCTGTGACCTCCAGAGGCCATCTCAGCAACGCTCTGATGATTCCAGTCTTGCAGACTAATCAATACCTAGCTTCCAAGGAGCTGATCTGACCCACTGGAGAGTGGGGCTTGACACTCAGTAGTGATCGCACCCTGAACGTGCACACCCGCACCGTATGCGCACACTCCTGCTCTCCTGAAACTGCAGACACACAGGGTCACATTGTCTGTTGCCTTAGCTGCTGACACTTAAAGCTCCATGAGCACGTGTACAGTCTTCTCACTCAGGCAAAGAGTTAGAAACTGAGTTTACTGACAAGATAGAGCATACTGTGCTGATTGGGGTAGGGCACAGCCAGACAATATTACTGACGATGAGACTGGTGTTCCCTGCCTGTGCTTTTGGCCATTCGTGTGGCAAATGACCTTTTATGGGCTGATTGGTCTCCTGTGATAGCTGTGGGAGTAGCCAGGCCAAGGGGCTCATTTATCTGCTTGGGTTATTTGCATTTGTTAAAATTAGGTAATTATCACACACCCTAACATTCCTACTCTTAGACACTGAACCAGAGAGGATGGCATCACCTATGCTCCTTACACATAGAAGTCTGTCTTCTCCCCCAGGAGGGCTGTGTTCCTGGAGCAGGTATCTTAGTGCTGTTGCAAACTACTTTTTTAGCCCATTAAGGGAACTTGTTCATCTTGGCAGATAGGTTCCTATTGTGTTTCCCTTTTCTGTCATTTCCACATTAGCACACAGCACATTAGGTGGACACAAAACTCCAGAGGCAGTCATTATTTATTGTTATTATGGCTGTCTAGGTGATTGGTGCGGTAGTTGTTTTCTAAGTAAATATCTGCATTTTCACCAGCGTCCCCTTCTCCAAGACATATTAGCTGCAAATTCCCAGGAGCTCAGAGAATCCCCAGCTCAGGGGTGTGTATGTTCCCTTTGTATTTGGTCTGTTCTTCATAGCTGCTGTTGAATTCTGACCTGTTTTTGCATAATGGAATAATGTACCTCTCTATTTGAGTTCATTACAGATTAATTCCTTTAGTCAGATTTCCTGAATAAAGGAGTGCTAGGACAGTTGAAACAGCTTGTTTTTTAGTATGAGTTGTAGCAGGTCCTGTGTTTTGAAATTTGATGGGTACTGCATTGATCAATGAAATGTGTTTTCAGGATTGTCTCACTGTCCCATGAGAGCGTGGTATCACCAGCATACCCATTGTCCAAAAGAAAGCCATTCCCCAAATCCATGGCATGGGCACACAAAGCTTTCAGTGGCTGTTGGGTCTACCTTTTTAAGAGTTTATGTTCCAGTTTTTATTTTCATTTCCCAATTTGAATGGTCTTGTACTAAAAATAATGAGCCATTTGGGATGCAGATTAGCCACGTTTCTGGATATGTCACGCAGTCCTGCTGTGCCGCCCTCTCCATCCTGACTACTGTAGTCATTCATAGTCCAAGTGCCATTTCCCAGTTGCGTGACTGGAAATCAACAGACACTGTTTTTATGGTCTTTCTAAACATTTGTCAGTGTGTATCTGAAAGCCCATTTTACTTATATATCTTCCAGTAAGCCACAGCTCTATAAACTCTGGAAGCCATTGATTGTCTTTGAAATCTTGTATCATCAGAAGTTCATTAAAGGTCAACAGTACTTATGTACAGGCTGTCTCACAAGCCACATTGATTGCAGTCATAGCAATGGATTACGTAGGTTCTGTTGTAACCTTTTCCATCCATAATGTGGCTGCTAATATGACAGTAAACTCCACACCTTGTCTGGAAGCTTTTTCTCCTTTGATGAGGAGACCAAAGCTGCTTGAAAATAATTCATAAGGGCAGATGTACATGCAGTTTATTTATGTCACACCTCCAAAGCCATCTTGCCTGCTTTTCACAAAGAGTTGATGGGGTTGCATTCTGCACTTCAGATCTTTAGGGTGATTTGATAGGACCATAAGTATTTCTGGCGAGGTTCACTGCCAGAACCTTAGTGCTTTTGGCTGCTTATGTAGTTTTTGTATAGTTAGCGTACTGAAGCCTTTATCTGCTATGAGACAAGGGAGTTCCTAATAATGAGACACCTCTCAAGTAGCTCTGTTTTCTTGCTACTTACTGTTAAAACCTTACAGAATTACTTCTCTCTATAGATACCACTCTGCAGAAAACTATGGTTCACAACAGTTGTTTTTTTTTTCTTTGAAGCAGTACCTGAACAAGAGAACTAGATCCAGACTGTTCACATGTTGCTTTATGATTTTTTCATCTTTTTTTGACAGTTGAAGACTTCGGCATTGTTTTCTTTATTAACGGATTTTGTATGTAATTAATTAAAAGTCTGCTGATCTGCTAGTGAAACCGTGCTGTGTCTTTGAAGGCTCCAGAGATTATGCCCGATACACAGAATAGCAATTTAAGAGTTACATCTAAATCTTAAGTGTAGAGATGGATGAGAAATGCAGATGAGAGTATTGTTGGAATTAAGTAAAGTTTATTCCAAAATCCTGTAATTTTCATTTCCCAGAGCAAGTGCAGATTTGAGAAGGAAAATGGCTAGCCCATTTGAAGTTACTGTAATTGCATAGGCTGTTCTGACTAACTTCTCTTTGTACTACCAATTATGGCAGTGAATGAAGTATTTGGTTTCTATCCTGAGACTGACTTTTTATGCCATCAAACCACTAGCTCGGCAAAGTAGTCTATAGGCATCTCAAAAAAATTAAAAAAAAATCAATCTTTTGCTGTAAAGTTTTTATGGCCTTACGAAGCGAGACTGCAGAAGTATAGCTTAACGCATTTTAAGAACTTGAAAAATCTGGATGAAATTTCTTCCCCTAAAGGAAGAAAATAAAAATAGCAAAAAGACAAAAAATATTGCATGTACAATTACTCTTGAATTTTATGTTAAGATCGCAGGAAGTGTTCACCCTTCAAGATGCTACATCTTGATGTTTTCTCTGGCCTTAAATAAAAGCAAATCCAAATCTGTCAAGTTCTATATTGGAAACATTTTGTAGTGAAAGAAAGAAAGACAATTTTGAAAAGGATTGATCCAAAAAAAGGGCTTGTCACCTGTTTGGGTCTCGTTCTGGGTAGAAGAGGCTGCTTTTCATATTAAATGTGAATTACTTGATTCTGCAAACAGTAGGAACTACGTTTTCAGTTACATTTGCTTTTATCACTGTAACACCTCTTAATGGTTGTAAATGTGCAGGTGCTATCTGTGTTTCTAACTCAGACACTTCTTATCATGCCTCTTAAAGTGCAAGGAGATTGAGAACTATGTTTTCTGGAAAAGTTGAATTCTTGTAAGCCAAAAAGATAATTAACATCTGTAAAGCACTAAATCTCATACTTTATTACTGTTTATTCCACAGAAGATATATGTACTCCTCCATTATACATTTTTTCAGGGATTATATTTTATCTTTCAGAAGAGATGTTCAGTGTCCTTTTCTGGCCATTTACTTTTTACGTTTGCAGTAGTTAAAATATAAAAATAAATGCAATGGAATTGAATTTCCTTTTTATCCTTCTCATAATCCATTCAAGGAGGAATAACTTTAGCTTTATGATAGCTAACTGTTTTAAATCTAAGTTTCCTTTCCAGGTTAACCAGTGAATTTAATAGCTGTACTAAATAGTTTGCCCCTGCAATGTGTAACTGAGGTTATGCTGACTGAATTAGCCATAAATATATAGGGGAAAAAAAATATTAACTAGAGAGGATGCACATTGTTACATTTTAAAGCAGCATTTAATAGCAAAAGTAAAATAAAATATATGCTGTAGCAAGTAGAAAAAAGTTCAGAAGGAAAGCACATGCAATCCAAAAATTTCTTCCATCAAATCCTGTACTACCATGACAGTAGGAAAGATGTGATAGTCAGCGTTTTCAGTGATTATAGATCATAAAATAATAAAAGATCCTTTGCCAAAGGTTTGGACCTTAGTTCTCCCATGTTTTTGCAATTTGGTCTTTGTCTTACAAATCATGGATCTGTAGAATATGTTGAGAAGGAAAGGAGCTTGCAGATCATGTAGCTCCAACCCCCTGCCACACACAAGGACACCTTACACTGCACTCATTCAGCCCAGGCTTGAACACCTGCAGAGTCCCTCCTCAGCTTTCTTGCAGGCCCCTTTAGATACTGTAGGTTGCAATGAGGTCTCCCCAGAGCCTTCTTTTTTCCAGGCTGAGCAACCCCAACTCTTTAAACCTTTTTTCATAAGAGAGGTGCTTCAGCCCTCTGGTCATGCTTCTGGCACTCCTCTGAACCTGCTCTAACACGTTCACGTCCTTCTTGTTTTGGGGGTCCTAAAGCTGAATACTAGGTTGTGTCTCATGAAAGTGAGGTGGAGGATCACCTCTTTTTCCCTTCTTTTGGTGCAAGCCAGAATACACTTGGTTCACTTGGTTATCTGTGCTGCAAGCACACATAGCCAGCTCATGCTCAGTTTTTCATCCACCAGTACTAAATCCTTCTTCTCAGTGCTGCTCCCAGTCTGCTCACTGCCCAACTGGAACTTGTGGTTGAAATTGCTTTGACCTATGTGCAGAGCCTTGAACTTGGCTTAGTTGAATTTCATGAGCATCACACAGAGCCCATCTCTCAAATCTGTCAGGATTGCTCTGGATGGCATCCATTCCCTCCAGTGTGTCAACCACACTAGTCAGTCAGGATGAGTGGCTAATTATTTGACTCTGAGAAGAACAATCTCCGTGAGACCTAGGTAAATAGGCTGCATGTGTCTGTAGATTTTACTGAATCATTTTCCAGCAAGCAGGCACTTAATAGGACTGTGCTTTTTCTGCACATTTAAATTGTCTTTGTCAGAGAGATTGAATCACGTGGAAAAAGAATCTGATTAAGATGTTGCATAAGAAGGTCTGATTCTTTCTTTACCTGAAGTTGATGATTTGGCAGCTAAGAGTTATAGGGACTGATACCACAGTTCCTGTTACTACGAAGATTGGATAAACTTTGAATAAAACTCTTAAGTAGGTATTAGCAAAGCAAAATAATGGTGTTGAGGATTACGATGGGAGTTCTTCCGTACAGACAGAGAGAATGAGAAGCATTTCAGCTGAGATGCTAAATGCTGTACGCATATGTCCCCAAATAACAGAAGGAAAAAGCAGCCCTTAAAATAATTAAAGAACTTGACTGAAGAGAATTCTTGAGCTAAACCTGGGAATTGGAAGCTTTTAAAAAGTGAGTGCTGTTGTGTTGCTCAAGGAAGATTTGGTACGCTTCTATATTTCCCTATATCTGAAAAGATTATTGAATATTTTGTAGCTCTGGATGATTTGTGATTAAGCTTTTCATTATATATTAGACAAAACGAGGATTTTTTTCTGATTTCTTGACATTTTTGTAATTCCTGTCACTATCCCAGAAATGGATATGAAAGAGAACATTTTGCTGTTTTTACTGAATTAATTGTTTTCCTTTCTAGTTATTCAGATATTCTGATTGAAAGGGAAGTACTGATGCAGAAGTACATTCATCTTGTCCAAATTGTAGAGACTGAAAAGATTGCAGCCAATCAGCTTCGACATCAACTTGAAGATCAAGACACAGAAATTGAAAGACTTAAATCAGAAGTATGTGAGAAAGTAATCAATAAATTCTAATATTTTCCTGTGTGCATTATAATAATTTTTAATATTTCTGTAATCTTTGTGAATCAATATGGAATATTCCTCCTGTGAATCCTTGGCTAGGTTTTTTTCTTACAAGTATTATGGACTGGTATACTGATTGGATTACTTTTACTTATTACTTTACATATTACTTTGCAATATGAATACCACTGATACTATTTTCTATCTGTCTTTGAGCAGTGAGTTTGGTCCAAACTATTCTATTTCACTGAGTATTAGATGTTTTGTTGCAGTTTTGATCTGAGGAGGTGTGAAATGCGCATTTCATTTTGAGAAGAGAACCAGCTGTCTTCTGGTTCTTTTTCCGTCTGTATCAAGAGCCTTATTTGTTTCCTGAGAACTGTATTTATGTCCCTGTGACCAAACATACGCTTGTCATTCTGTGCAGCTTAGTCAAACTTTAAGAAGAGCCTTAGAAGATGAAGAAATTATTTTTCTGTTAGTTTCGTAAGAAAGAATTTCATTACATTGAAAAAGTATTTAATGACTGGTTGTTTTTATCAGATTATAGCTCTAAATAAAACAAAAGAAAGAATGCGACCTTATCAAGGCAACCAGGAAGATGAGGATCCAGATATTAAAAAAATTAAAAAGGTAAACATGCACCACTCTGTGTTTGAGAGGAGAAAAATGGAACGGGGGAGGTTTTCTTCTATTTTAGTCTGTCTTGTTTTGTTTTCCGCTAGTTTTGTCTTCGGTTACTGTTTAATTAGGCACACTCAACTAACAAGATATTTTTTGCCATGACCCTACTCAAACTATTTAAATTATATCAATTTCTGTTTTTCAAAGATGTACTTACTCCATAGTGTATTTCTTACCTAGGTGTTTGTTTTTACTTGGTATATATTCAGTTTATTGGAGAAGGTTGCACATTTCATTCAACTGCTTGTGAAGATTGAAATTAGGTCAGAGGCCAAGAATCAAGCACGTAGTGAGTTTATATTCCTTGCTTGTAAAAGTGTTCATAAAAAATGAGAGAATAATTTACATTCTGTCACTGCATATGGAATACGAACATTGGCAATGCAGAGAGCTATATTATTTCAGTTCTTCTGCTGGTCGATTTGATGTTGGTCGTTCTAGGAGAATATGGCCAGTGTTTTTAACGTCAATGAAGAATTGTCCCAGTTTGTATGGTATTTATGTGCAAAGCTTTTGGTAACATTGCTTAAGGCTATATGTAAATGGCTCCAGAACTGTGCCCATAGATGACTCCCACAAATCCTAGTACAGTGTAAATGGAAATCATGCTTGAAGATGTGGTCCTTCATTTGTCACCCAAATTTTCACAGTGCTTAGTCTCTCAGATTACATAATTTCTTTTCTGCTGCATTTCCTTCTGCTGCATTTCACTAACCATTTCAAGTAGTCGGAGTCAGGGTTAATACTGAGCTGGTACCCTTATGTGAATATTCTTTTTCATTGTAACAAAGACAGAATTGTCCCTTTTCGTACACGGAGAGTTCTGATTCTGATTCACTGCTTTCTACATCTTCATTGTTTTGACAGTTGGGCCTCTTTTTTTTTCTTTTTTTTCTAAAGTTGTTTATTCAGTGTAAACTGTTATCAGTGAATTTTTCCATTTCTCTTTCAAGACAAATGGTTGTCACATCAAGGTCAGGGCAACTGAAGTTTTCTGTGACTAGGAGTAGATGTTTAATCCACTTATAACTTCAGTGGATATTATGCTTAAGTAGGTTTTTCTGTAGCATAGAAAATCATTGTAAGAATACCCCAAACCTACTTTTTCTGGGTAGTATTTCTCATCTAGGTCTGCTGTTCAACTGTGTATGTACTTTGGAAACAAACACCAAGTGATATCTTTACAAAAAAGAAATCAAACTGAGCTTAGCAGCTTTTTCAGAATTATGTCAATGCTGATATTGAAGTCTGTCTTGAAATACCTTACACAAAAACATTGCACAATATGATTGGTGGTGTAAGAAAATGATAAATGTGTAAGGAGAAATAAAAGGAGTTAAAAGAACCTGTGTGTAGGATAACTGTGCTGATAGAAAGAGGTTGAACTTTTGAGACTGTAATAAAATCTTGCTGTGTACAGGTTGTCTTTTCAAGCAATTTTTGAGCAAGAAATATTACGAATATTACAAAATGCTTGTAGGACTTATTTTAAAAATAGATACCTAAAAGAATTATTAAGGAACAATTATAGATCAGAAATAGTTTAGAGGACAACAGATTTTTTTGACTGAGTCTTTTCATGTAGAAGGTTATTTGTTGAGAGAAGAACTTAAAAATAGTCATGAAAGTTTTCTTCTCATCTGTTTTTCTGCCTGGTTCCTTTTTAGGTTCAGAGCTTTATGAGAGGCTGGTTATGTAGAAGAAAATGGAAGACTATTGTCCAAGATTATATTTGTTCTCCCCATGCAGAAAGTATGAGAAAAAGGAATCAGATAGTTTTTAACATGGTTGAGGCTGAATCTGAATATGTGCATCAACTTTATGTTCTTGTGAACTGTTTTCTGAGGCCCTTAAGAATGGCTGCAAGTTCAAAGAAGCCACCTATCAGTCATGATGATGTTAGTAGCATTTTCCTTAATAGGTATGTTTATTTTTGCTTTTGGAGGTTCCTCTGACCACTCCTGTTCATTCTGTCTGTTTTTGTAGTAATGAAGTTTTGCTTTTGTTTGTTTGTTGTGATATAAGTAATGTGTCTGAGTTGGACCTCATTCCCTTAGGGTAAGAGGTAAGTTGCAGTCTGTGATTCTGTTTGAAGCCATTTAGTCCTATCTGCCTCCTTACATTCTGTAGCTGCTGTGCTAGAGGAAGGAAAACATAAATAATGCCTTACTGAGCAGCTCTCTTAAATTTTCTGTCACCTTTCTTGTTTCCTTTTCTCTTAAGAGAATGAAATTGTACTTAGTGGCCTCATATGATTCAGATAAGACCTTCAGGATGAGTATGTCATATTTTCTTTTTTCTATTGTCGTGCCTAAGGAGCCTCCTTTTCTTTTGCTTGTCTTTTTGTATCCAGCAAAAAAGAATTGTTCTCTGCATTAAGCATCCTAGTGCTATTGTAACGAGTATGTAAAAACAAGCCAGCAGCCGTATAGAATTTGATACAGGATTGGGACTGCATCCAAAACTGCCCCAAACTTCTAAGAGAACAACTTGTTTCTTCAGTTACGAGACAGACTTTCCTTTCATAACGTCTTATTCATGATCACTGAACTCTTCATGATTTCACTTACCGTAGGGATGCCTCTAAAGCTCCTTCTGCTGATCACATGAGCTCAAGTACAGTGCTATTCAAAGTTCACATTCTGGGAAAGCTCTCAGCTTCAGATCTTGAAGAGTACTGTGAGAATACCTATAACTGCCACTGGCTAGAGGTTTTCTAAAACTATTGATACATTGTCAGAGATATTCTTGGAACACTTAGTCGTTAACCTATGTGGAATATACTATTTAATAAACTATTTTATTTAAAAGATTAAGCAGTTAAGATATGCTTTCCATGGTAATTAGTATGTATTTAGTAAAGATACTGCACTAAAAAATCTAAACATTGTAATAAAATGTTTACTTCCATAATAATAATAACTGTCTTCTGTTTTTCCTACTGAAATGAAAAATGCACCAGTAAACAAGAAGGAATGCTTCTTTGTGAATTGTAAATTGGCAAATAGACCTGAATTTTTTTTTTTTTGTTTCTTTAAATACTTGTTTTTCAGTGAAACAATCATGTTTCTTCATGAAATATTTCATCAAGGTTTAAAAGCAAGGATTGCTAATTGGCCTACCTTAATTCTAGGTAAGTTGCTGTATTTTTTACTATTGTATTTTTTAAAGTATTTCTACAGGTTGTTATACTTTCTCAATTTTTGTAATTATTTTTTTTAATTGCTGTGAGTTTTTTTTTTCTTTTTTTTTTTTTTTTTTAGTGACTGTGTCCTTTTTGAATGAAATGCTTTTGTAGAGCTAGTACTGTGTGGTTTGGTGTAGTGACCACATGGGCAGTAGTATAACACGCCTGATATCCAGATGAGAATTCCTCTGTTTTAGCCTTGATCATGAGCATTGTTTACACAGAGGCCCCTGCATTTGCAGTGAAATTGTCTGGTTATTAACTCATCAGAACAACTCTATTTTGACAGGTGAAAGAACAAAGTATAATGTTTCCGAATATATTGGAAATATAACTGATTGCAGTAATTCACTTCCATAGAACATAATAGTTTTGTTTTTTTCTAAAAAATACATTCCAAGACATGGATAGCTGGAAAAAAAAGCATTTCTTGACTTTTTCTAGCTGACTTATTTGACATTCTGCTGCCAATGCTGAACATATATCAAGAATTTGTTCGGAATCATCAGTATAGTCTACAAGTACTGGCAAATTGTAAGCAAAACAGAGATTTTGACAAACTCTTGAAGCAATATGAAGCCAACCCAGCATGTGAGGGGCGAATGCTGGAAACTTTCCTTACTTACCCCATGTTTCAGGTAGTCTCTGTACATTTTTTTCACTCTTTGTTTTTCACGTTTTGTTGAATCATTTTGTGTTACTGAAATCATGATTGATAGAAGGTGTTTCTTGCGTAAGTAAAAGTAGTCTCATGCAAACTAATTTAGTTTTTATGTATTTCATTATTATACAGAAACTGCTTATAGAGATCTTTTCTCAAACTACAATGACTCAAATCTATTAAGAATCCTGTGTATACGCAAGGAGAATGTTGGGTGAGGGCTAGTACCGAAAGAACAAAAAAGGAAAAGTTGGGAAACAAATTATTGACTTCTGACCTGCTGCAGGAATACACAACAGTCCAAACAGGGGTAATATAACTGGTACAGCAAGTTAGAGCAATCACAAGCATTTTAGGAGAAATATATTTTGAAACCCTCTTCCTACTTTTGTTCTTCAGTGACCTGGTCTTTAGAATATAAAATATATACAGCAGAAGTATTTGAAAACTTCATTAGCCTTATGTTATATTCTGTTGATATGTATGGATTAATTATTTGCAGCTGTTATCAAAAGTCTTTGAAACACTAGTGTGATGGTTTTGTGACATTTATGTTTGACATAATTTATTTACCATGTCAGTGGTGAATCCCAGCAGTTTGTTCAGTAACTGGCAAATGGAGTTCTCCCCCCCTCAAAAAAAGGGTCACTGCCATTGTGTTAGAACTAGTCAGCCCTGTTATCCTAATTAGAAGGCCACTGCTACTTCTAACAGTGTATTTGTTCAGCTTCTAGCCTGTATACCATAAAGTTTGGAAAATTTTGATTGAACTTAAAAATACCTTGGGATTTTAGAGGGGAGAGAGAGGGTCCTATTGATATGTGATGAATAATGTTGTGATGAGGATGTTTTCTGCATAGGAGAAAGCATCTCTCCACTTTCTAAATAGTTCTTATTCTTTAAAAATAAATACTACTGCAGGGTCACTTGCTTCTGTTTAACATTCATGAATGTGCTTTAAGTGATGACAGTTTGAATCAGGATGGTTAAGCTTCTGTTTGGCCTTTAACTGTCAAATCTTGCATATTCTTCAGTGTCCATTAGTACAATGTGAATTATTTCATCTGTATGCTAACAGGCCACCACCTGGCGTGTAAAAAATCTAGATGCTTGCAACCTATTACAATTTTAGTAAGGTGTATGTGGATCTGCCAGAATGTTTTGAAAATTTTCTGTGTTGACACTTGAATAACAGCAAGAAAATAAGAAATTCAGTGTTATTCTTGTTACTGTCTCTGATTTTTTGCGTACAATATTGAATTGAATTTATGTTGTTTCAGACTGAAAACACACGCACACATGCAGCTTCTGTGACCAAAAAGTTCAGTATTTTGGTAGTCTTGTTTAGATTGTATGTATTATCACTTAGTATTTATCACTTACATTTTATCACTCGTATTTAAAACAAAAAACAAAAAACAAAACTGTATCAAAATTATTTCTTTAAGGATTTACTGATTCTATTCCTAATTCATTTTAAGATTCCTAGATACATAATAACGCTTCATGAGCTCCTGGCTCACACACCACATGAACATGTTGAACGAAAAAGCCTTGAATTTGCAAAATCCAAACTAGAAGAACTTTCAAGGTGAGACTTTCTATGCTTTTATTCAATAATTCTGAAGCAAAGACTCTGAAATGTAAAATGAATTTTCTCTCTGGTTTTGTTCTTTTTAAAAAAAAATATTTTAAAGAAAAGGAACAAAACCGAACCAAAGTCCAGAAAACTAAAGAAATAAATAGTAATATTTAAACTCTTCTAGTCTTTTGTTTAACAGAAATCTACAAGTACTTTGTATTTTGGGTAGGGGAGAACAAAGTTGCTATAGAAACCACCTACCGTTATGAGCAATTTTCCTTATATAAAGAAATATGTATGTTTTTTCACAGTTTTTTTTTTTTTTTTTTTTTTTTTTTAAAGGGCATTTTCAATATTCCACAATGCTGGAGATCATTCAGGGTCTTGAGAAGTACTGAGTTCTCAATCCGTGTTGAGTTTGCATGTGTTAATGAACTATCACATATGCTATAAAGAAGTCCAAATAAACTGGAGCTAAAGATGTATTTTCATAATTAGTACTCACTATAGAAGCCTGTAAAATGAATATCTTCCTAGAAACTCCAGGTCTTAGATGCTTCTTTCTGTCAGCCTGGGCTGAAATTTGGTTGCTATCATTAGGAAACAGATCTTTCTGTTGTGAACAAAGACACGCTACATGAACAAGAATGTATGCCTTGAATATCTGGAGTATTCACCAAAAAAGTCCCTGTAAAATACGTAGCTGTAAATGCGTAATTGCTTCATAGCTCTTGTTAATTGCATTCTTTTGACTGTTCACATCTATAATGCCTTTAAGACAGAGTCGCTACGTTGGACAAACTACCTATCAGTTTGGAGCTTATTAATTTTTCTTTTTTGTCCTGCTGCATCTTCAATACAGTCAGCTAAATGGCATGTCCACCACCTTTTAATGCTCTGGCTTCTTTTGAAAAGACTTCTGAAGAATTAGCTGTGTTTTCTTCTTGCAGTGTAAGCAGGGTCTGCCATATTCTGAGGCCATTTGAAGCAGAGAAGTAATGCCTCCTTTCCCCTTAGAGCCAATGTCTGTGGGTAGGGTTATGTGTATATGTGTATAATAAGAAGAAATAGCACTGACTCTGCTTCATCTCATAAGTTAGAGTTCATCCAACTAATTTATCTCTGAATGTTCAGAATTGGAGGCTCAAACTGACTGATGCTCTTCTGCTCACAAAGCAGGTGATATGGACCATATGTATAAAACATTATGGCTTATTTATCGTAGATGTGAGTGAAGAATAGGCTTGAGACAGTGCAGTCAAGTCACAGTTCAGGAATATCGCAACATCATGCAAGTTTCTGTGTTAAGGTCTGTCTTGGAATAAACTGCTTTTCTGTGCAAGAGGAGGATACTTAGAAAGAGAATCACAGAATCACAGAAACACCAAGGTTGGAAAAGACCTACAAAATCATCCAGTCCAACCATCCACCTATCACCAATAGTTGTCACTGAACCATATCCCTCAACACAAAATCCAAACATTCCTTGAACATCTCCAGGGTCAGTGACTCCACCACCTCTCTGGGCAGCCCCTTCCAGTGCCTGACCGCTCTTTCAGAGAAGTAGTATTCCCTAATGTCCAGCCTGAATCTCCCCTGGCGCAGATTGAAGCCATTCCCTCTAGTTCTGTCACCAGTTACACAAAAGAAGAGGCCTACCCCAAGCTCACTTCAGGTAGTTATAGAGAGCAATAAGGTCTCTCCTGAGCCTCCTCTTCTCCAGACTGAACAATCCCAGCTCCTTCAGCTGCTCATCATAAGGCCTGAGCTCCAGACCCCTCACCAGCTTTGTTGCCCTTCTCTGAACCCGCTCCAAGGTTGGAGGGGCCCAAAACTGTACGTAGTACTGGAGGTGTGACCTCACCAGAGCTGAGTACAGGGGACAATCACTGCCCTGTTCCTGCTGGCAACACCGTTTCTGATGCCAGCCAGGATGCCATTGGCCTTCTTGGCCACCCGGGCACACTGCTGGCTTTTGTTCAGCCAAGCATCAATCAATACCCCCAGGTCCATTTCCTCTACGCAGTCTTCCAGCCACTCTGCCTCAAGCCTGTAGCGTCGCCTGGGGTTGTTGTGGCCGAAGTGCAGGACCCGGCATTTGGCCTTGTTGAACCTCATCCCATTGGCTCCAGCCCAGCTCTCCAGCCTGTCCAGATCTCTCTGTAGGGCCTCGCTACCCCCAGGCAGATCGACACTTCCAGCCAACTTTGTGTCATCTGCAAACTTACTGAGGGTGCACTCAGTGCCCTCATCCAGGTCATCATTAAAGATACTGAAGAGGAGGAAGTTAAGAGATGAACCATTAAAGTTGTAATTGTTACAGGGAGCAATGAGGAAGTGAATGGTATGTTCAATCGTAAACTGAAGCAGACCAGACCAGGAACCTAAAACCACGGTCAGGGAGTCTAAAATGTGTTTTATAGCTAACACAAAGAACTAAGAAACATTTCCAGTTTTGTGGATGCTAGTGAGCATCAAAAAGTACTCTTCTAGCAGCTTTGAACAATTTTCATCTTGGTGGCATCTGTCAGATGCGTTCAAGAGTAGTCTAAGAACAACTCTGACAGAATAGGTTCCACTGCTGAAAAAATGATTGCAACGATGGTTTGAAAGAAGGCAAAGCAGAGCAAGAAACTCGCTCTGGACTAGTCATGTGCTGTATGTATATATCTTTTGTGTTGTAAAGGACATTATCATCTCTTTATGCGTACACTGTCAAAAGTTCAAATGAAATGAGATGAAATATTTTGCATACATATTTTTGAAACATATTGCAAGATATATTTTGGGGAGTTTTAAGTACATTTTGTATTGTGTCTGACAGGGTAATGCATGATGAAGTGAGTGACACAGAAAACATCCGGAAGAATCTGGCCATAGAAAGAACAATAGTAGAAGGCTGTGATATATTGCTAGATACTAGTCAAACTTTTATACGCCAAGGTAAGACTTCTCTTTAAAAGCTACCTATGAAAATAATTGCATTTAAAACAGCAGGGTTCACATTGCCATCATTGGGCAAGTCACTGCACTGGGCACAGGTAACATCCTTAAAGTCTAGTGGACTGTGTAGTATGAGTTAAAAATGCTCAAATTTGGGCAGATTTGAGACTATAGTTGTGCCCCATTTCTGTACTGCATTATTGAGGAACCATGAAAAACAACAGCAAGCAATGGTAAATCATACATGGGACACTATTATACACTGAACAGGCTGTGATCTTCAGTTGTAATTACCTACAGCTCCACAGAGACAAAGGCTGTCTGGTCAGTCAAAATGGTAATGTCAGCTGATGCATCACCTGGACAAAAGTGCATGAGTAGCCTGAAATTTTGTCAAATGATTAAGCAATAAAGCAGTTGCTAAGAAAGAAAAGAGCTGTCATTCCCATTTTAATCAGTGCTTCAGGAACAGTTCAAATTCATAGTGCCAGAATCATAGAATCATAGAACAGCTCAGGTTGAAAAAGACCTTAAAGATCATTAAGTCCAACCACAACCTAACCGTATTACCTTAACTAACAGCCCTCCGCTAATAATGTCTTTGAGAACCACATTCAAATGGTTTTTAAACACATCCAGGGATGGTGACTCAACCACGTCTCTGGGGAGCCTATTCCAGTGCTTAACAACCTTTTCTGCAAAAAAGTTTTTCCTAATATCCAACCTAAACTTACCTTGATGCAACTTAAGGCCATTTCCCCTCGTTCTGTCACCTGTGAGAAGAAACCAGCCCTGCTCTTGCTGTAAACACCTTTCAGATATTGGAAGAGAGCAATAAGGTCTCCCTTCAGCCTCCTCTTCCCCAGACTAAACAGCCCCAGTTCCTTCAGTTGCTCCTCGTAGGGCATATTCTCCAGCCCTTCACAAGCCTCATTGTCCTTCTTTGGACCTGCTCCAGCACCTCAGTATCCTTTCTGTACTGAGGTGCCCAAAACTGAACACATACTCAAGGTGAGGCCTCACCAATGCTGAATACAGGGGCAGGATTACTTCCCTACTCGTGCTCACCACACCATTCCTGATACAAACCAGGATGCCACTGGCCTTCTTGGCCACCTGGGCACACTGCTGGCTCATATTCAGCTGGCTGTCCATCAGTCCATCAAGGTTCCTTTCCTTTCCATCAGGCAGCTTTCCAGCCACTCCTCCCCAAGCCTGTAGGGTTGCTTGGGGTAGTTGTGACCAAAATGCAGGACCTGACACTTGACCCTACTGAAACTCATACAGTTAACCTTGGCCCATCAATCCAGTCCATCCAGGTCCCTCTGTAGTGCCTTTCTCCCCTCTGGCAGATCAACATTCCCTGCCAACTTGGTGTCGTCTGCAAACTTACTGAGAGTGCACTCAACCCCCTTGCTCATGAAGATGCTAAATAGAAGCGACCTCAGTACCAGGGCCTGAGGGACACCACTTGTGACCAATCTCCAACTGGATTTAACTGCACTGACCGCAATTCTTTGGGCCTGGCCATCCAGCCAGCATTTCACGCAGCAGAGCAGATGCCCATCCAAACTGTGGGCAGCCAGCTTCTCCACGAGAATGTTGTGGGGGACAGTGTCAAAGGCTTTACTGAAGTCCAGGTAGACCATATCAACAGCCGTACCTTCATCCACCAAGCGGGTCACCTTGTCATAGAATGAGCCAATACCTGATATACTTGCTCCATCTTCTGAGAGGTACATTTTTGGGCTTCACTAAAAGTCCGGGAATGGATACAAAGATCACTTCAAGAAGAAAAACATGAAGAAAATGAAGGCTTCTTGTTCTTCCAGAGAGGTAGAATTACATCTAATAAAATTCAGTTAGTAAAAAGAATGAGGGAGAGGCATACCATATTCTTTATTCTTGGTGGTTTTGGAAACTCCTCCTGCTGAAGCTTAGGTCCATCATGTACAGAGAAGTGTTCGTTCCACCTCTGCTCAGCATTTGTGAGGCTGTAGCTGCATACTGTGTTCAGTTCTAGGTCACCCAGTTCAAGACTAACATAGACAAACTGTAGAAAGACCAGTGCAAAGCTACCAAGATGCTGAAAGGCCTAGAGCACCTCTCCTATGAGGAGAGTAAAAAAGAGCTGGGACTGTTCAGTCTGGAGAAGAAAAGGTTCAGGGAGGACCTTACCAACATGTATAAGAAGCTGAAGAGGGGTGCAAAGAAGACAGAGCCCTACTCTTTTCAGTGGTGCCCGCTGCCAGGAGAAGAGACACTGAGCACAGCCTGGAACACAGATGGTTCCCTCTGACCATCAGGCAGCACTTCATTCTGTGGGGGCGTGGGAGTCCTGGCACAAGGACCTGGAGGCTGTGGGGTCTCCTCCTTGGAGGTCTTCAGAAGCCACCTGGGCGTGAGCCTGAGTGCTCTGTTCTGCGTGGCCCTGCTTGAGCAGGGAGGGTTGGCCCACATGAAATCAGAGATTCTTTAATGGCCTGTTTACCATCCTGTGATATCAGGAGATAAATTTCTTACTGTACTCCACAAAATTGTAATTTAAAGTAAGTGCTACCTTGAACTGAAACTATAAATGGATTGTAGTTCTTAACTTGGGGGGGCTCACTCTAATGGTAAAACAAATGAAAAATCTTCATAATTGAAGCCTATTTTCCGTTTATATAAGAATTTACTTCTTGATCTTTTCTAACAAGGTAGTATTTTTGGATGGAGTAGCTACGGGTCTGTTAGGGAAGGATTTTAATGAGGTAAAAGCACTGTAAAGCATTACATACATGTAGGGAAGCTTGAGAATTTAATTTAGGTATATCCCTTCATGCGATCTTCTTTAGATAGCATCATCAGAACATTTGGTATTTAAATAGAATCATATGCAAAGCTGGTAGTTTAATAGGCTTTGTTTAGAATTTGAAATCCATTCTGTAGTGTTTCTGAGGTTATTTAGCCAAACTATGAAACTTTCCGTAGTAACTTCTGAGATTGTTTGTACAGTGGTCACATTTAAGTTACTCTGTTGTTCTTTAAATGTATGTGTTTGCTATAATTGAGGTGTTTCAGGAGTTATGAATGTGGTTTCAAGAAAAATGTGGAATTGTTACATTACAGCCACCCCTGGAGAACTACGGGGCTGATTCTCCTTGACTGACTTGTACCATGAAATTTTCTTAAACTTTTTTTTTTTTTTTTCACTGTGATTACGGTATTTTATATTTAAATGCATATGATGCTTTTTCCCTTTTTTTCCCTTAAAATTGACTAATATAATTTTGTCTGTGCACCCAGTGTTTCATCAGTGGAAGCCTACTAATTTTTCTGTGAAAATCAATCTGTAAAGGTTGGAATGTTGGTATGTAAGACCCAAGTCAAACCAGTGATTTAAGTAAATCAATTTCAGGTTTAATTCTGGGAATACTGTTAAGGACAGTGGATAAGCCTGCATGTTATGAAAGGCTGCATCACAATTTACCTTTTAGAAATCTTAAAGCATATGACATTGTATGAGTGCAGAAATCTGACTCAAGCTGATGAAATAATGGCAAGCCCATTTTCCTTTCACATCTGATTATAGGGTCACTTTAAGAGTGATGTCCACCTCATTTAATTTCAGTTAAGCTCCTCTTCTTTGTGTTGGTTGTGGAGAAATAGGTACCTATTTCTGACCAAAAAAAAAAAACAACTAACCAACCAACCAAACAAAAATATTTCTGACAGTGCTTTGCACAGTAAATTATGAATTCGCTTTCAGATTTCTTGGGGTCTCCTTTTGCCTACCTCTTACTTTGAAACAGACTATATTGTTAGGCCCTCTGTCAAGGCAAACAATATCTTCTTTATCTCTCTTTCTTCTCTTTGACATGGTCCCTCACCACATCTTTTCTCTCTAAATTGGAGAGGCATGGGTGTGAAGGATGGACAGTTTGGTGGATTAAGAATTGGTTGGCTGGTTGCAGCCAAAGGGTTGTGATCAGTGGCTCTGTGTCAGAGTGGAGGCCGGTCACAAGCGCCGTCCCTCAGGGTCTTGGGACCAGTGCTCTTCATAAGTGACACAGACGATGGCATCGAGTGCACCCTCAGCAAGTTTGCAGATGACACCAAGCTGGGCAGTGCAGTCGATGTACTGCCATCCAGTGGCTGGAGAAGTGGGTCCATGAAAACCTAATGAGGCACAGGGTGTTGCACTTGGGTCAGGGTAATCCCAGGTATTTATACAGAGTGGGGGAAGATCTCCTTCAGAGCAGCCCTGCAGAGAAGGACTTAGGGGTCCTGGTGGATGTGAAGCTGGACATGAGCCAGCAATGTGTGCTTGCAGTCTAGAAAGCCAACTGTGTTCTGGGCTGCATTAAAAAAGGGTGGCCAGCAGGGAGAGGGAAGTGATTGTCCCCCTCTACTCAGCTCTTGTGAGGCCCCATCTGCAGTACTGCATCCAGGCCTGGGGCCAGGAAGGAGGTGGAGCTCTTGGAGCAGGCCCAGAGGAGGGCCACTGAGATGATCAGAGGGCTGGAGGAAAGGCTGAAGGGCTTGTTTAGCTTGTTTGGGCTTGTTTAGCTTAGAGAAGGCTCCAGGGAGACCTCATTGTGGCCTTCCAGTACTTGAACAGAACGTATAAATAAGAGGGGCAACAGCTGTTTATGAGGGTGGATAGTGATAGGACAATGGGGAATGGTTTTAAACTGTGACAGGAGAGGTTTAGGTTAGACATTAGGAGGAAGTTTTTCACTCAGAGGGTGGTGACGTACTGGAACAGGTTGCCCAAGGAGGCTGTGGCTGCTCAGTCCCTGGAGGCATTCAAGGCCAGGCTGTATGTGGCTCTGGGCAGCCTCGTCTGGTGGTTGGTGACCCTGCACTTGAAACTGGATGATCATTGAGTTCCTTTTCAACCCAGGCCATTCTGTGGTTCTATGATTCTGTGATTCTTTAATGGCCTAAGGCAACGGAGACCTTGATCTGCCATCCAGCATTGGCTGACACCCAGAAAACTGTCTTCTGGAGGCCCCTCAGAGGCCATCAAATATGTTTTCTGATCTTCCTATCGTCAACTGCACTAAATTTACCTCTGCTAACGAATATGTCATAATTACAAAATTATGGAGTGGTTGAGGTTTGAAGGGACTTTTGGGAATTGTCCTGTCCAATTCCACCTGCTGAAAGCATTATCAACTGGTGCCAGTTACTCAGCATCATGTGCAGTCAAGTTTTTATTATTTCAAAAGAATGGAGGTTTTTTTTTACATCATATTACTAATGAACATTTCAAAATTAGTCTCACTTGGTTGTGGTAGTTGTACATTGGCCAGTCATAACAATTTTTTTTATTTTCTTAAGAGGAAATCTGTAGTAGAATCTACGACATGGCAAATGCTCAATTTCTTTAATCATGAGAACTTGATGGAAATGCAGTACATCCTTGCTAGATTTCAACTCTGTAGATTTTTTTTTCTGTGAGTATTAAGCTCATTATTGAAAGGAGATAACGCAGCCTCTCTTCACACTATGAAATAGTAATATTTCAGGTCCTTTTTTTTTTTTGTAGAATATAGGTGAATCTAAAAGGTGTTGCATAGGTTTACAGATTTCTAGAGTATAGCTTTTCTTTGTGTTTTATTACTGTGGCACAAATCATTGTGTACTCATTTAGTCTGAACATGTAGTGGTTCTCAAAGTACAACAGAATGTTGTAAGTTGATCAGTGTATATTTTGTTATGTCTCAGATGTATTAACAACTTAATATTTAAGTGCAAATAAGGAAATAAATGTAGGAAAAAGTGATGTAGAACAACAGTAGCTTTTTCACAGAGTAATCTTAATTTCTCTGTTAGTCTGTGTACATGATCTTCAAATTGTGCTTCACTATCAAATTTGATTCCAGACCCAAAATAAAAGTGATCATGATATCAGCAGGCAAAAAATTAGTGAGAGAATGGTTTTGAACAAACAAACAAGATGGAAGCATAACTTCTCTGTTTTGGAATTCTGTAGATTGCAAATTCAGACTTAATGCAATGAGATTCAATTTAGTGCTTGACTGGTAACACTTCTAACTTAGCTGTGTAGCCCTGACTCTAACACAATGCAAGATAAGAGATCTGCTTCATTTGCATCTCTTACTTATAGGCATACATATATACAAACCTTCCTTTCCATACAAATGTTTCCCTTCAAAACCTTTGTTTTTCTCCCTCTGTCTCTTTGGCTTGAAACTAGTGTACCTTTGCAAATCTAGCAATTACCAAAAATTGAGAAAAATGGAGATTGCCGTTCAGCTTTGTTCTCAGATTAACATGTTAGTAGCTCAGAGTTGTACGAAAATTTGACAACTATCTAACTAACTATTAGTTCAGACTTTGTTTGCTTGATGCTAGGACTGTGGTTACAGAGATGGATTTACTACTTCCGTTAAAAAAAAGTACAAATCTGTGAACTTGTCGTGAAACCCAAAATGAACTGGTACAAAGAAGATAAATGACCTTTTTTTTTTTTAATGGAAATTAATGTGTGTTAATACTTACTAGAATGAAAAATTGCATGATTTAATACCAAAATGTTTGGTAGATTAACACTTGTTATAGTCACAGTGTATTTTTTATTTTGATTATTGTCAGGTTCTCTTATTCAAGTCCCTTCAGTTGAAAGGGGAAAACTTAGCAAAGTTCGTCTGGGATCATTATCCTTGAAAAAGGAAGGAGAAAGGCAGTGCTTCTTATTTACAAAGCATTTTTTAATTTGTACAAGAAGTTCAGGAGGAAAACTGCATCTCCTTAAGGTACACATTATGACTCAATTCTGTATTTCAATTCAATGAAAATAAAGCTTCAGTGAAATTTTAATATAGCGGGGGGGGGGGCGGGGGGGGGGGCTTGTTCTGAACTGAGATTTTGTGTTCTTATGAACAGAAGTGAGATGATGTGTTTCTCATTGCAATACACTTTTCCGGAGGTGCGTGATTTAATAAACCTGGGGCTAGAAACAGTACATCAGTGCCTTTGTATAAGCCAGTAGTGGCTCTAAGTCTGTTTACAATGCAATAATCAGCCAGTACACCCCATAGAACTATGAAAGAACTTCCAGAGCTGTAATAAAATTAATATTTGAAGTCGGTTTTATTTTCCTGGGCAGCATATTGTCTTAAAGTGAATGTTCTACTTAGAGTGCTCTGGTTACACTAGTTGAGAATCAGTCTTCCTTGGGTTCGCTTTTGAATGAAGGTAAAATGGCAGTTTGTGGATTGATGTATGTTGAACAAAATTTTAATCTGACAAGGACATATCAGAGATATTTCAGGACTGCTTAGAAAATCTCTCTTGTTACTTTCTGTATGCATTTTCACTTTGTACTCTTTAAATAATTAATGTATTTTGCAAAGTAAATGAAGTGTAACTGAATCTTTCAAAAAGTCATGTATTATTTTTATTTAAATTCAGAATGAAATTATGAAATTCTAGTTACCTTTTCTGGAACTTACGAACAAGCCTGTGGGAGACAAATTATAGTATGGTAATAATGAAAAAAAATTTGCACATTTAAACATATGATTGATTTGCTTGCTTAAAGAAAATGTAATATCAGATCCAGCTGGTTTTAGTTCTTGAAAAATGTACATCATGAAATTGATATATCTTTCTATGAGCTCTGGATTGTAGAATCTTACTGTAAGATGTATCAATATTTTAAAATAGCTATAATGGCGAATTGGAGCACATGTCTCAATTTATGAAAAATGTACTTTGTTTTCATAGACAGGAGGCGTTCTGTCGTTAATAGAGTGCACATTGATTGAGGAGACAGATGCAACTGATGATGACTGTAAGTTACTTTCAACTGTTTGTAGTAATTACAGTTCTAAGTATATATATATATTTAAGTTTACCCTTGATTTATTTTTCATAACAAATTGATATGTTCTCCTCATTCATGAAATCAGAGAAACATCTGTTAACTGATTGAGTAGAATAAATTATTTAATAATGGCTGTACTGGCTTGCATAAGGATTTGTTTTGCTGTGTTTATTGTTGCTGTTGATATCTCACATAAGATTTCAAAGTACACTGGCTGAAGGAATGTGACAAATTATTTGCTGACTTTTCTATTCAGCTTCACCCTGAGGATCTTAGAAAGAAAAAAAAAAACCCAAACTTCTAGAAAGACAAAACAGATAATTGAGTTTCTTTCATGAAAGCTGATAGAGTTGGCAGAATTAGTGGAAAGTTTTTGTCTACAGATTTTGACTACAGCCCTTTTCAAATGAAGTAATTAAGCACATCCCCAGGCTGTGTGTTTTGTTACTCTTGACTTCCTCCCTGTAGTTTTAAACAAGTATTACCCATGAATTGTGGAAGTAGTTCCATTAATTTCAGTAATCCTTCAGTGTACTGAGAGCATATGAAATATAGGAGGGTTAGAAGGACCTCAGCCTTATCTGACATTTTAACATGTAACTTACATCAATTCCCACTAATGTATATTTGTAACTTTTATTGTATTTGGTGTATGTGGAAAATGATAATCAGCGTTTTGGATTCCCAGTCACATTTACTCTTTGTCAGAGAAATATTTTAATATAACTTTTTCAGTAAGTGGAAACAATATTTTCTTTATACTGTGGTTTGAAATCTCACATTTTGTCTTTTTTTACTTCTTTCGCTGTAAAGCAAAAAGCTCTGGACAGGTGTTTGGACACCTCGATTTCAAGCTTGTCGTTGAACCTACAGATGCTCCTCCTTTTACTATTGTCCTCTTAGCCCCTTCACGTCAAGAGAAAGCTGCATGGACAAGTGATATAAGTCAGGTAGCTTTCTGCATTCTTTATCCTGTTTGTCATGAAATTATTTACTTCATGTTTCTGAAAACTAATCCAAGAGAAAACTGATTTCTTGAGAGCTGATTGATTGCAATGTATTTGCAAATCCCCTAGTGTTACCTGTTCTCCCTGAAATTTTGCTTTTGCATTTGACTTCTTAGTGGAATGCATGTCAATCTGAAAGCTGAAAAGCTGCATGACTGAGTTGTGTGCTGCATGCCTACAAAGCTTGGAAGTGGCCTAATAAGGTATAGGTAAACACAGCAGCTGAGAGAGCATTGGGTGAAGTAGTTAGTCAGACTGTCAGGGAAAACAGTAGGAAACTTTTCTCTCTTGATTATTCCCTTTGAGGAAAGGAAAATCTGCCCCAGCTATTGCTTTCTGAAGAGATTTGAGGGCAACAGTAGAGATATTTTAATAATGTGAGAATGATGAAGATTAAGCTTCTTAAGAAAGCAGAATGATGGAATCGCCGAAATTGGAAAAGATTTCCAAGATCATCTAGTCCTGGCATCCACCTACCACCATTTCACCACTAAACCTTGTCTAGTACACCATCTAAATGCTTCTTGAACACCTCCAGGGATGGTGAATCAACCTCTGCCCTGGGCAGCCTTTGCCTGTTCCAGCATCTGACCGCTCTTCTGGAGAAGATTTCCTAATGTCCAACCTGAATCTGCCTTGGCACAACTTGAGGTCATTTCTTCTAGTTCTACTGCTACTTACACAGGAGAAAAGTCTGACCTGCACCTCACCACAACGTCCCTTCAGGTAGTTGTAGAGAACTATAAGGTCTCTCCTGAGCCTTCTTCACAGGAAAGAATTCCAGTTCCTCAGCCTCTTCCCATAAGACTTGTGCTCCAGTCCCTTCACAGCTTTGTTGATCTTCCCTGGGCACTCTATTGGGCCTCAGTGTTTCAATAATAGTGAGGGGCTCAGAACTGTATGCAGCACTTGATTTGAAGTCTCACTTGTGCTGAGTACTGGGAGACGATCGCCTCTCTAGTCTCGCTGGCTGCACTACTTCTGATACAAGCCAGGTTGCCATTGGCTTTCTTTGCCACCTGGGCACACTGCTGGCTCATGTTTAGCTGAGTGTCAACCAACACTACCAAGTCTGCTTCTTCCAAGCAGCCTTCCAGCCCTCTGCCCCAAGCCTGGGGTTGTTGTGGCCAAAGTGCAAGACCTGGCACTTGGCCTTGTTTTACTTCATCCCATTGGCCTCAGTGCATTGATCCAGCCTGTCACAGAATCACAGAATGGCCAGCGTTGGAAGGGACCTCAAGGATCATGAATCTCCAACCCCGCTGCCACGTGCAGGGCCACCAACTTCCACATTTAGTACTAGACCAGGCTGCCCAGGACCCCATCCAGTCCGACCTTGAACACCTCCAGGGATGGGGCATCCAGATCTTTCTGAAGAACCTTCTTACCCTCAGGCAGATTAATGGTGTCATCCACAAGAGTAGATACCACCTTAAAAGAGAAGAGTAAGGACTCAAGACACTGTGCAAACATCATAGGCATTTTGTTGCTGCTGAAGAAATCTCCTCTCTTCTACTTTAAGTGTGCCCTCTGGCCCTAGCTCCCTATTTGATTCCTTCACGTCACAATTTTTCTAAGATTTTATCTGTCAAATAACTGAAAAATGCTAGGACTCTGCAGTCTTAGTGGAGACAGCACTGAACCGCCATGGGTAGTTTGGTGCTTAGAGCTTCTTTGCAACATTTAAAAGTCACGTAGAGGAAACTATGTATTATTATTAGAGATGTGTGTTGTGGTTTTTTTCTCAGTGCTTTAAAGTAACAATTTTGTAAAGTCATAATGTGAATTATTTAACTTTGAAACCATTGTTAAAAATCTGAAATTAAAAACACACATAGTAAAAATAAATCATAGAAGACCAGAAAAGGCCTCTGGTAGTCTTCTCTAACTGATCTAACATCAGTCATTATTTTGCTAGGCAATATTTCTACATATTATTCTTAAACCCAGTGTAAATGCGTATGAGAACTTTGGAAACTCCATTTTATTGATGTGAAGTAATAGTGTGGTCTGCACATATATAATTGTTGAAAATAAAGTTTGAAAGTATTATAAAAGCAAGAGCCCTGTAGTAGTATATATAAGATACTTGATCCAGACCATAAAAGCCTTAACTGCTGGCAGACTGCAGACTTCCAAGAGCAGGGTTTTGGGTGCTCTGTTATCTCAACTATGTCAGAATACAAATCAGCAGAAAATGCTGTTCAGATGGCTTTGAGCTGTACTTACACACCACTAGTGCTGAGCTGCTTTGAGGCTTGAATAACAGCTTAACCATGCATAACTTGTAAACTTCTATTGGCCACAGCACAGCCTGTAATTTCAAACTAATATGTGCTATAAACGTGTCCCAGAAGCGTCTTCACACTTTCTGATACCTAGTCCAAAACATTTATACAAGAGTTTTCAATGGACTGCTCAGACAGCAGCTTCATAGCTGTATTTCAAAATAATAGCACTGTTTGAATTTGTTTTTAAAGGAAATGTGTGTTTTTAGAAACTATTTGTCTCTTACTTTATACATACAATATATAATATTATGACTTTCCTTCAGTGCTGATTTTTCAAGATACGATAGAAGCATTTAAGGTCATTCAGTTTCAAATAAACTTCAAGGTTATCTCAATTTCAACTGAAAATCTGCAGCCATGTAAAAAAGATTCTGGGCCAAATTCTCTGAGCATGCTGGTAAAGATGCATGGACATGAGTCTGCAAATCAAAGGAAGAAGACTAGAGAGTAGTATCTGTTACAATTTCTTCATCACTGCTTTTCTTCTATGAAAGTACCTTGTACTTTAGTCTGCTCAGGCTCTGTGAAAGCTATGTTTTAGTGATGGTAGTGGTGACACTAACGGCGTGGAAATTAACCTCTTGTAGTGTGTTTTGATATTAACAGTTCACAATATTTATTTTCACAGTGCATTGATAACATAAGGTGCAATGGTTTAATGACCATAGTGTTTGAAGAAAATTCTAAAGTCACTGTGCCGCATATGATAAAGTAAGTGACACAATTTATGCCCAGTGAGCAAAATTTGTTTCTTTGCTTTTTAATAAAAGTTTTTTAAGAAAAGGAAGTGTGTTTTTGGAAAATAAAGTATTTACTTCCCCTTCATTTACCCCCATTTTTGTTGGCTGGAATTAAATCTTCATCCCAATATTTATTTTTTTCAATCTGTTTCCTGAAACAGTAGGGATAACTGAAAATGGCCAACTCTGAAGTCACAGTGTTGGACTATATAGGATCACAGCTCAATTTTCTCTTTTATTTCTGAAGCTACAGTAAGTTATGGTTTGGATAAGTAGTTTAATTCTGTATTGGTTATTTATTTTCTGTCCTACTACTCATCATTTTATTTAATGTATTTTTAAGTGTTTGGTAAACCTACACTGAGTGCAAACAAGTATGACTTTCCAAAGCATTCCAAAGCCAAAGTTTTTCTTTTCCTTATTTCTCCTATTTCTAAGGGACAAAAAAAAAAAAAAAAAAAAAAAAAAAAAAAAAAAACAAAAACGAACACATTATCCCACAATTTTAACTTTAATCAAATCAAGGTAGCATGTTTTATTCATAAACCTGCTTCTTTCACCCTTAAATTCATTCTGCAGCCTGTGTGCAGGTACAACCTGTGAAGGAAGCCATAACTTTAGCTAAGGGTTTTATTTTACTGTCTTTCATTGGGATCCCCTATAAAGCAAGATCCCAGCAGAAGCAAGTTTCTCCATACGAGTCTTCTTACGTTGATGAAATACAAGAATGCAGTATGTATTTCGTGGTTCTGTGTTGACAGAAGTAGCTGAAGTGATACTTCTAGCGTACTATAATCACTCTTCCTCTGTGGTGAAACGTTCTACTTTACCTTTTATGTAGGTCTGATGCACGTCTTCATAGAGATGACATTGATATCTGCTTCAGCAAAACTCTAAATTCCTGCAAAGTACCTCAGATCCGTTATGCAAGTGTTGAACGCCTTTTGGAGAGGCTCACAGACTTGCGATTTCTGAGTATTGATTTCCTGAATACGTTCCTACACACTTACCGCATATTCACTACTGCAGCTGTTGTACTGGAAAAACTTTCAGACATTTACAGACGGCCTTTCACTTCCATTCCAGTTAGGTGAGCCCTGTCTTTTGTCTTCTATGATAAATTACTTACAGAATTACCAAGAATTACCATTTGTTTGTTTTTTACCTAATTTCTGTGTAAATAATCTGAGAGGAAAGTTCTTACTCTGTATATGCGGAGTAAATTTTTAGGTAAGTCTATCTCAATTTTCTGCCTGGGTTTTGAGGTCTAAATATCTCATAGATTTTGCCTCCACAAGTGTTTTCACTTAAATCTGCTTTGCATTTGTTACTACGATGTTGCTTTTTTGTTTCTTGCTTTCAGGGCTTTGGAGTTATTTTTTGCTACCAGTCAAAACAACAGAGGAGATTACCTAGCTGATGCGAAGTCACCGCATCTCTGTCGCAAATTTTCATCTCCCCCTCCACTGTCCCTTTCCAGAACATCCTCACCTGTCAGAACTCGAAAATTGTCATTGACTTCACCACTGAATTCAAGAATTGGTGCCCTTGATCTTTCTGCTTCATCTGTGGCATGCAGTCCTACCTCAACCTATAGTCCAGCCACTTCTCCTCCACCAACAGGTAGCAAAGTACCTCTCGACCTTAGCAAAGGGCCCTCCTCTCCTGAGCAAAGCCCTGGCTCCATAGAGGACAGCTTGGAGAATCCTCGCATTGACCTCTGTAACAAGCTGAGGAGAAGCATTCGAAGAGGTATTCTATATTTACAGAACGCTGAATGTTACTTTTGGCTTTTGGCTTTTTGGCAGTCTCAAATGAAAGCTCAATTTTTATCAGACTACTGCACAGCAGTTGTTTCTTTTTCCTTGCCCCTTCTTTTTTTTCTTTTTTTTCTTTTTTTTTTTTTGTAATCACAGTAACCTGCATTGGGGAATAAAATACACTGCTCTTGGTGTATTTTCTAGTGGCTGTGTTTCCTCTGTTTGTTTTCCCTTTTCTGTAGGCATAGTAGTATGGCAGAGTGGACCTGTCTGTTTTTAGTCCAGCAGAATGTTTTGGATGAATTAAAAAAAAAAACTTGATGCCAGTTGCATTTTGTTGAAGTTGTCCTGTGAAGTAAAATATTAAGCTAAAAGGAAACGGTTATATAAAATTAGGGGGAGTTCTTCAGAAAGATTTAGTTACTAATTCAAATAATTTGTGTGAGCACTGGGTGCATTATTGAGATTCATAGCACTTGATTGTTATCAGTCCAGAAGGTAGATGTCTAAAAAGATGAATTGCTATTGTGAAATGCTTTTGGCTTTTGTAAGGCACCTTAAAATAGGTACTACTTTCAGAGGAATAATGCTAGTTGATATAAACCTTGCTGTGGGCATCTAGAATGAGAGCATTGCACATAAATTCACAGAATAATTTAGGTTAGAAAGAAACCTTAAGATTATCAAGTCCACACATCAGCCTAACCTTACAAGTCCACCACTAAACAATGTCTGTAACTGCCACATCCACATATGTCTTAAATACCTCCAAAGATGGGGACTCCACCACTTCCCTGGGCAGAGAATAGATGACAAAGCAAAAAAGTAGTTCTATTTTCATAAAGTATGCATAGGGTATATGAGTATTTATTGCTGTTTGGGAATGGAGGTATGGTCTTCTGAATTAGAATAAAAATATACTGTAATTTTTAATGTTGTTAGATTAAGCAAAAGATGAGGAAATGCAACATTACTGTTTTCTTCCTAAAATCTAGTCTGCTAGTGCCTGACTTGTAACCTGAATAAATATGAGTAGAAGATAGCTCAGTCTCTTTACAAACTATGCCATGTAGAAGTTGGTAAAACCGCCAAGGAAAGAAGATATCCAAATGTAAATTAAGAAAAATATCATTGAAGCATTATGTCTGCTCTTACTGCTGCGTAATTTTTACACAGCGTAGCGTATTGTTCAACATATAATTTTTTCGTCAGGCAGCCACATTAGCATCCTGGGAGCATGTGACTCTTCATGCTTTCATAAAATACTGGCTGGCTGATACATTTAAACATTATTTCTGTTCACTGGGTATTTGTGGATTAATTACATAACAGTCTATTTATATGTCTAAAATACAGTATTTGCTATATAGAATTGGGCAAATTCTTTGCATGCACCAGGATAGTCATACTCAAATCTTTATGATAGCACATTCCAAAATATAGGCCAGGTGTTAAGGTGATTTGTAAATAGGTAACTATAGTCTTTGATGTCACACTTTTTGTCATACACTAAATGTACACCTACTAAAGTAGAGATTATTCTGACCTAGTGTTAGCACCATGCATTACTGCAGAAGTATTCTTAAACTGCATTCCAGTCTGTCAAAGCTGTGTCACCCGGGCAGCATGAGGGAACATTTGGAAATGGCAAGAATCTCATATAAATGCTAAATGGCTGTCTCTAGTCCCTTCAGAGATCTCTTGCTAAACAGTTTGCACATAGTTTAGAGGAATTTGCAACTATCTAGCTTTGTTCTCCAGGGGAAAGTCCTTCTGTCACTGCTTATCAAGTTCAAGAAGAGGAGTAACTTTAAAAAGAAATTGCTCACAAAGAATGGAAATGAGTAGTAGAACTACATAATGCTGATCTGCATTTTCCACATCATTCAAACATGGTTCCTTATTTCTGAAGTCTTCTGGGTAAGGAGACAAGTTCTGCTTACTCAGCAGCTACCACCACCTTATAATCATTAATGCTATTGCTCTGGTACTTGAGGATTTTCAGGAAAACAAAGGTATCGTATTCTAAACATAATATAACTGTATAAATTCCGTTTCCCATGACCTATTATTATGGCAATAGTTGCTATTTTTGAACGTGGCTCATTTCTGTTCCAAAATTTTGCTTCCTTCCCACGCTATCAAAGTTTATTTGTATTTTTATAGTACTTATGCTAAGGCATAGTTGTTGTAAATATCAAACATAAAATACTTTATCAGCTTTTAAAAATACTTGGTTTTCCTGCATTGAGGAAGTACTTTTTTCTGCTATTCTGAAGTTATGAACATTTCTTTTAATATGCTTCTAACTGAAGAACTTTTCCGCAGACTAATCAGCTCTCCAGTGTTGGCCATTTTATTAAGCAGTATTCTGATTATAGATAGCAATCTATCAAGGATTTTTTCTTGTGAGCTCATATGAAACTTATGACTTTGGTACCCTTATTATAAATGCATTTTAATGCATACTCTGTTGACTTAAATTGCAATCATAACCAAGCTATTTTTTAAACTGACTACTGTCCATTTTTTACCAAGTTATTTATTTACTAGCTTCTGTTTGGTTATGACATCAGTACAAAGCTTTCATTTCAGACAGTAATTACTGTTGAATCTTCTTGGCACAGAAGATACACAGCAAGTTCCAAAAGCATCACCATTTAAATGTAGCATTACATAACAACTACTTTATATGTATATACATATTAACAGCTACACCTATAAATAATTTTTGTGTATTAGATTTGGTATTTAAACATCGGTGTAAAATGTTCTTAATTAATGGCCATTTTTAAAATGTTGCTTTTCAATGAAGATCATTTTGACACACAAATTCTTTGTATCATTGCAGTCAGTTTGCTCAAATTTGCAGATTTTTTATCTTTAGGCGTTCATACACTGAGAGTTCTGAGTCACTTGCCTACTCTTCATTCTCTTCAGAGCTGTGTTCGTACCTAAAACAAACAAAACTTAGTACTTTACTTACTTAGTACTTTACAAACTCTGTACTTTAAAAAGGTGTGTCATAAAGCCACATACCTTTTCTCCCAAAAATCTCTTAATATGTTGTAAATTTTGAGCTATCATCCTGTTATTAACATCCAATCTCTTTTAAAGCAGCAGTTCTAGAATCAGTGTCAGTGGACAGAACTATTCCTGAAAGCACCTCAGCGGTGGATACCACAGAACTTTCCCCATGTAGATCCCCTTCAACACCACGTCATCTCCGCTATCGTCAACCAGGAGGTAAGGAACTGAAGTTTCTGCCCTCTGTAACTTTCAAGAGTTTAAATAAAGTAGCCATAGTCTTTGCAAAATATTCGAAATCTGTAATCTTTCAATAATGTGAATTATGCCATTCAGTTAATGAAGGAGGGCTGCTCTGAAAGTAATGCTTCCTTTTTTATTATGGTGGCCCATGATGTCAGACGCAGATGTCGTGTTGTTGATGGTATAACAGTAGATTTTGAACCTTACTGCCAGTATTGTTACTGTGCTGTATTTTGTTGCTGCGTGACAAATGGCAGCAGAGCGGCATACAGAATGGTATTTGATGTGGAAGTATATCTGTATATATTACCTTTCTCTGTGTGAAAAAAATAGCACCCGTTGACATACATCCACAATTGCTAAATGTTTCTGGAAACAGAAGGAGGATGTGAGCACAGTGAGAGATGGGTGGAACATTTCAACAGTGGCAACAGCAGTGTGAAAGACAAGCCACGTTCTGGACAACCATGCACAGCTGTGACACCATGAAGTGAAGAGCGTCTTGATCAGTTCATCTATGTGAGTTGACATATTACAATCAGGAAGGTGTGTTTGGTGCTGAGTATCAGTTTCAGTACTTTGGAAACAATGGTTGCCAAAATTGGAATATCTCAAAGTTGGAGCCACGTGGGTCCCACAAATGCTCAGACAGGAATAGAAAGAACACTGCATGCAAGTTTGTCAGGACCAGGTTGAACCGTATGAGGCTGAAGGTGAGTTTCCTGGGTTGCGTCTTTACTGATGGTGAAATGTAGTGTCACAACACAGTGGAGTCAAAATGGCAGCCCATGAAGTGATGACATGTGAATTCCCCAGTGAAGAAGAAATTCAGGATGTAGCTCCCAGTGGATGAAGTGATGCATGCTGTCTTTTGGGACAGAAGAGGGGTGACCCGCTGGATTTCCTGGAACCTGGACGAGTCATCAACTACTGATAGTTGTTTTGCGACACTGATGAAGTTGAAGGCTCAAACTTCATGAGCTGGGCCAAAGACAGCCTTTCTCTTACAGCACAATGATACCAGGCCCCATACTAGTCTGAAGACCATGGAGCACATTGCCAGTCATGGCAGAAAGGTCCTACTACACAGACTGTGAACAGTCTGGATTTGATGCTTTCTGTCCTCATCTCTTTTGGCCAATGAAAGGTGGACTGTATGAGCAACGTTCTTCTAGGAGTGATGCTGTCATAGCAGCTGTGAAACTGGGTCATCTTCACTGCTGCTGATTTTTTACAAGTCTGGCATGCAGGCTCTTGTTCATTGCTGGCAAAAATGCTGATGGTGTTGACTGTTGAAAACCTGTGCTTTGTAGCTGAGAATATGCTCAATCAGATAGGGTTCTTGTGCTCTTTGTATCTGTTTTGGTTTTCCATGGAAATAAATTGGAGGCACTATTTCTGGAGAGAAGTATGTGTTAATAACTGGAGACTTGGAAGGATGTTGGAGCTTTGTACGTGATGAAATTTTCTTTAACAACTTGAGCAGGATGTATCCAAGTTCAGAACTAATACTGAATCACTCTTATTCTCACAAAATTCTCTAGATATTTACAGATATTCTTTTTTCAGCTGCTAAGGAGACATTTTGGACATGATAGGTAATGATGAATTACACAATACCCAGTACTGTCATTGGGAAGTGACTGCGTGAGTTATCTTGTGTGAAGTTGAAAATTTACAGTTGATAGCTGGTGATTTCTTCCAAAATTTGAATAAACTGCTCTGTTGAAGAGGTAAAGGGAGAACTGGAGCTCCTCAAATAGCTCTCACAAGTCTCTTCAAAAACATTAACTGAGCTGTGAGATCTATCCATGAGCTCCGTCCAGTTAAAATGCTGTCTTCTCAAACAAACCAGATCTCAAGGCACAGACATTGTTTGATACTTGGAATTAAAAAAAAAAAAGAAAGAAAAAGAAAACAGAACATAGTCTTCTCAGCTGTTAATAAGTTAGTGAGACATCTCAATACTGAACCAATAGTAATATTTTGCTATTGGCCGTAGTTGCAGTAGAATGGCAAAACTCTGGAGTTGGAAACTGTGGGAAGCAGTAGTGTATTATTTGAGTACAAAGTGAATCAACATCGACTGGACTCCCTGAAGAGAACATCTGACAAATTTTGCAAAACTGTACTTAAGTGATGAGCTGGGAAGATCTGTAAATCTCATCTGATTTGTTAATATGCTTTGTCCTTTAATATGGATGTTGGTTTTTTTGTTTGTTTTAGTTAACTGTCTGTACCATTACCTTTGTTGTTCTGTTTGGTTCAGGTTTACTCCTCATCCTTTGCAACGTCTTGAGAATTTTTTTTCCATAGAAACAACAATTGTACAGGCCTACAACTAATAGTCAAATTGCAGAAATTATGGTGATATTTTTCTTTCTTTTAATATGGAATCATAGAATCATAGAATTGCTCAGGTTGGAAAAGACCTTCAGAATCAAATCATTATAAAATCCAATGACAGTGAAAATAGACGATATACACAGTGTATGAACATTAGTAAAGATTTCAAATATTTCTCTTTCTATTCTCTTTACAGTACAAACTGCTGACAACAGTCACTGTGCTGTTTCTCCTGCATCTGCTTTTGCTATTGCTACAGCTGCAGCAGGACATGGGAGTCCACCAGGTGAGAAAAGTTTACCAAAAATTATACCAAACATTAAGATCTTCTCAGAAGGTAAATATTTCTTAGGAATTTACCTGAATCCTAAGCAGCCTCTGATTTGTTACTATAATCTCCATGGTGTCTTTTTGAGTTGGTTCCATTTGAGGCCAATGTGAAATATTTGTAATTTAACTCCTTTAATTTGAAGGTTTTTCTTAAAACTTTTTTGAAATCATTGAATGTATGAAAGGCAAAAATTACAATATTGAAGAAATTAATAGAAATGTTATTTAACCCTGTAAGATTTTACAGGAGAAATTCAAACACTGGTTTTATCTTACAGAAGCAGTGTAAAATGCTGGAATTGTGATTATGTAATTTAGTTGACTTGAATACATAGTTCAGTTACAGTAGAAAACAACTTGAAACAATTGCTAAGATAAAGATAATAGAGAAGGAAATCAATTTAAAAAATTCTCATTTGGAAAAAAGCTGAGGCTGAAATCCTTATGTATTACAACCTTCTGCATAATAAAAAGCATTTTCAAATATAATGGAAAGTGTTTGTTTACTGCAAATCAAGAGATCACCATGAAATTGACCCATAAACGTGACCAAAAAGAACAGCCTAAGATTGTGTTCAGGTGCATCCATGCTATTATCTTTTTTACTGTGGCAGTCTGAAAATTTGTAAGAAACTTATGTCACCAAATAGTAAAATTATGTCTTAGACTGTTTGTATATTACTCTGTTTTGGGAAGTTGTCTGTAACCTTCATCCTGTCTACCTTAAAGAAAAAAAGAATGGGAATGCATTGAGTAATATTGTTTAGAATAAGCATGAATCTTAAATAAATGAGGACTTCTTATTGTACCGTATACCTTAAGGAAATGATTCTGGGCTTTGTGCCTTTGTTTTGTGAACTCTAATATCACCAAATCGTTCATCGAGATTTTGGATGATTACTGTATAAGCCTATGATCTCTTTTCTTGCTTACTTAAATTAGAATTACATGTACATTGTTTAATACTATATCTACCACATTTTATCCTTTGTGTCTACTTTATGCTTTTTTATCCTTTATGCTGTGGCTGTTTTCTTTGAGTGAGTGAGTAAACATCATGCAACAGTGATTTCTGGACAATAAGAGTTGTGTATTCCTATTAATTTTGAAAACAGACATTGCCAAGAAGTCAGTGACATATTTTACTTTATAAATTAATTCCAATATATTTACAAATTCTTTACAAAATACAGTAAAAAGGAAAAAACTGTTTTTTGTTCACTAGGACGAGTACAATTTAAAATCACAGCTTCTATATTTTTAAAAGCGCAGGTTCTCAATATTTATCAGATAAGTGTTAGAGAAAATAACATCTAACGTTATTGCATTGCGTGAGGGAATTTCAAAGCACTAAAAAAAAAGATCTCTAAGATTCTTATAAGTACATTTTTATATTGCTTTTTAAGATAATTCTGCATAAAAGGCTATTTTGCTGGCTATAGAAGGCTATTTTGTAAAAAAAAAAAAGAAGTCCTTGCATAAAAACTGAAATAGGTGAATTTCAGTTAATAAACCACAGCTCAGCTGAATCATCCGCTTTGTAACTTGAATGTGCTGATGCAATTATTAGTGTAGTGTTTGAAGCTTTATCATTTCATTTATCTTACATATGTTAAAAATGATATTACAGGTGAAGAGAGAGAGTTGAAATCAGAGTAATTCAAATAATTTTATTTCTTCCCCTTACATGCTTCATCAGAATTGTATGGGGTTTTTTAATGACATCTTTCTTATCCCCTTTGGACTCCTGTCTCTTACGCTTCAGTGAATTGGATCTAGGTAATGAACGAGATTCATCTTTGTTTTTTTGCTTTTTTTAATTAGTCCTTTGTCTCCTGGGTGCAGATATTGTGAAGTATGCCATTTAATATAGTCTACCACTGAACATAAATAAAACATCAAATGAAGTTCAGTGTTGGTAAATAATATGTGAATGTATGTGAGGAAAAACTGCCCAAGCTTTACACGTTGAGAAAAGATTTGACTTGAAGGGTTGCTGAGAAAATTTTGCAAAAATACAGATGCCATCAGAACAGTTAAATAGGCATTTCTTGCCTTTCCCAATGACAGAGGTAAGAGATTCAAAGAGTCTGTGGATCTTGTGGACACTGTGATTTAAAGATATTTATGTAGATTTAAAAAGTGGGTAACTGTATGAAAGTGAGAGTCATTGTAGCTGCTAGAAGGGCAAACTTAAGCAGCTTCAGGAGCAAAAAACAGCTGGAGCATGTGGGAGAACATTAGGAGGTAAGAATTACCTCTGTAACTTCTATTATCTCTGCTTTGTAAGAGTCTACTTTTGGCTTTGTTTTGCTTTATTTTGTTTAAGAGTGTAGCGTGTCTCAATTTTCTGCCTTCCAGTTTTAACTGTTCAGGGATACATCACGTCTTCCTCCAGTCTTAGAACTTTCTTTCAGCTCATTCTTTGGCAAGGGAAGAGAATTCTCGTTACACAAACATCTTTCCACAGAACAATGTAATATACCTGGTTTTCCTGACTAGATGTAAAATTGTATAAACTCAGATTGTTGATGTAGGGACACGTATTCTTTATTTATCCTGAATTTCCATTTCTTCAGACTTTCTCTGATTGTTTTTGAGGACTTCTGGTCAGCTACATGCTTCTTGAAATGACAGATAAACTCTGAGCCATCAAAAACATATGACTGCTCAATGGCATTAGCTACTTGAGCTGTTTCTCTTCTCCCGTTCATGCCTCTAGAAAAGTGGTTCTTGACTTTAGGTTTATCTTTGCTCAGTCCTTTCAAACATATTACTTCTTTTTCTCCTTAACTATTATTTTTCTGTTTTGTGCAGAATCAGAACACAACCTCAAGATAAGCAAGATTATCTTGCACCAATTTTTTAAAGAATAAAACATTTTTTTAGCATTCATTGGTGAACTTGTTTGCTTTGCATGCATGCAGGTTCTCATACTTGTTAATATTCATAAACCATGAAAGTGGGGCTAGTAGAGACTGAAATTTTGCTTAAAATCCTGAATAATTGTATAGATGAAGCCAAATTAGTAAAATAGTGCTGTGCTGTTTTAGGGTAATTACAGAATGGCTTGGTTTGGAAGGACCATGGAGAGCATCCAGTTCCAACTCCTCTGCCATGTGCAAGGACATCTCTCACCAGATCAGGCTGCCCAGGGCCCCATCGAGCTTGGCATTAATGCCTGGGATGGGGCATCTACAGCTTCTCACAGCAACCTGTTCCAGTCCCTCACCATTGTCATAGTGAAGAATTTCTTCTTTGTATCTAGTTAAAATATCCTCTCTTTCAGTTCAAAACAGTTACCCTTTGCCCCATCACTACATACCCGTGTCAAAAGTCTCTTTCCATCTTTCCAGTTAGCCCCCTTTCAAGCCGTTTTGAAGGGCTGCACTAAGGTCTCCCCAGTGCCCTCCAGGCTAAACCCCAACTCTGTTAGCATGTGTTCATAGAAGAACTATTTCAGCCCTCTGATTATCTTTGTGGCCTCCTTTGGATGGGTTGTAAAAGTCCATGTCCTTCTTGTGTTGAGAGCCTGTACTTGGATCCAGCACGCCAAATGGAGTCTCGTAAGAGTGGACAGGAGAGAGACGATCACCTCCCCTGATCTGCTGGTCTTTATTCTCTTGATGCAGCACTTGGGTTGGCTTTCTGGGCTGTAATTGCACATTGCTGGCTTGTGATGAGCTTTTCTTCCTCCAGATCTTTTTCTGCAGGGTTGCTCCCAATCCATTCATCTGATAGTGTGTACTGATATTTGGAATTACCCTAACAAACGTTCAGGCCCGCCTCATAAGTCTGTTCAGATCCCTCTGGGCAGCATCCCTTCCTTCTCAAGCATCAACTGCACCACTCAACTGCAAACTAGCTTGATTGCACAGTCTGTGTCACTGGTCCCAGTGCTTCCCCTGGGAAGCACTGCTCATCACTGATCACAGAAATGCTGAGCTGTTGACTAAAGATCTCTGAATGCAGCTGTCTCACCAATTCTTCGGGCACCAAATAACCCATACATCAAATACATCTCTCCAATTTGGAGACAAGGGTGTTGTGTGGGATCATGTCAGAGAATTTACAGAAGGCTGGGTAGATGACATCAATTTGTCCTTCCTTGTCCATGTTGTCACTTCATCATAGGCCAGCAGACTGGTCAGATGTGATTTGCACTTGGTAAATCATCAATAAAACAAAGAGTAACCAATGGTGTAGCAAACAAATTTCTACTTTACCAAGAACACCTACCTATTTTAGGAAAAACAGTTAATGTTAAGTTGATCGTTTTATTTTGTAATAGGTCCAGTGAACATGGGCTTCAGGGAGATTGCATCAACAGAACCTAGATTTGAAATCTAAATCTTGTATACTCTATATATTTGGAGAAGTGTATTTCTTTCTCAAATTAAATTAGAAACCCAAAATCTCCTGACACAGAAAACAAACACTGGACAAGAAGCAAATACTTCATCCCAAGCAAACATTCATATATTATTTCATCGTGAATACAGCAGCTTATTTCAGCAATTCAGTCACCCCATTTCAAGTTGGATACTTTGGTGTTTCCAGCATGCTGCATGCTGCAAAGCTGCTTTTCTCCTCCTACAGCATGCTGATCTGCACTGTAAAGGATATACCGTTTTTCACGAGAACAAGGTGACATGTTACAAGAGAGTATAGGAGTGGGATGGAAGCTTGTGGTTGGCAGGAGGGCCTGGCTTCTTCAGTTTAAGCATTTATTTTTTAAAATACATATGAAAGGAAGAGGAGGGAAAGTGAGAAAAGTAAGAAAAAAAAAGTCATTGGGGGAGTATCTCTGACAAACATGATTTACATGCAGGAAAATAAGCCCCGTGATAAAGAAGAGATAAGTTGATTTTACTCTGTGTAATTGTAATGATTTAAAACACTAATTAAAATAGCAGCTGGAAGTTTGAAAGCATCTTCTTAAAAATGAAGATGTAC